GTAGTTTTTAAATTATTTAAAATTAAAAAAATCCACATAATCATTTTTTACATGATGGATTTTCCACATAATATTGAAAATGTAAAATAGTCAATCACTTAACGAAAAAATTAATTACATCAACATTTAACTGACGGAAAGACGAAATTAAAAATTGAAGTTGAAAGACATTTTTGGTACTTTCTAAAGTTTAAGGATGAATTGATTAAAAAATAAAAGTTGAGGAACCAATTCAGATATTTAACTTAAAAAAATATGTTAGCTGACGTTACAACCAACTAATTCTTAAATAGAAAAAGTTGAAAGTTGATATTTTTAAATACAAAAAGTTGAAAGTTGACATTTTTAAATAAAAATAAATAAAAGTTGACATCCTTAAATAGAAAAAAATTGAAAGTTGACATTTTTATTTAAAAAATAACAAAGTTAATATTTTTAAATAAAAAAATACAAAATTAAAATGCTTACTCTCAATTGCCCAGAGCTTGCTCCCATCTTGAGATATATCTGTTGGAACGGTTGGATCCTCACACAAAATATCAGGCTGCCACTCATGAGCCATTTCCTATTTCACAAACAAAAGGATTTTCCAGAATGTGTTCACGTATTTCTTCATATTTTTCTTTCGTCGGTATGAGTCTCCATTTAAAACAATTGGCACACTGGACGGTGAAAGCTCCAACAGATGGCTGAAATCTAGAAGATGAAAATCTTGGATCTGCTGGAGCCTGGGGCCTGATAGGTTCAGGATTGAAGGGTTCAATTGTACCAGCACCGTTGGATGCAGGATCATAAAGCACTAATTGTTTGGAAGCATTCCCATCACAGTGGCCATCTTCGTCCTGTATTACTTGAGAATCACCCTCAGAAGATGAGGATGACAAAGCAGAAGAAGAAGAAGAAGAAGAAACGTCAATAGGCCCTTGTAAAGTGCTATCCAATCAATTCCTGAAAACAGAACTGGGTAAGTCCTTCGCTTCCCTTTTCACCATAATGAAATCTTTTGCTGTAGGTGACTGCATCCCAATGTCTACGCTGCCTGAAGCAGGAACAAATTAAGTACACTTCTCAGTAAGTCATCATTAAAAATATCATGAAACTATTCAGCTATTAAAATGTAAAGTATTAAACAGGAAAAAAAATCTTCACCAAATCAACTTGCCGAAGTAGTAAAAGGCAGGCAATTACATAAAAATAGTGCATTGAAGAGAAGAGATCCTTTAAGACCTTCTAAGATTTTGCATCCAAAGCATTTGCATGACTTACAAAAAAAATAGGATTTGGCCAAGAAAATGAGCACCTAATTTGCTCAAAAACAAAATCTTTGAAGCAAAAAATGATGCCTCAACCTGAGCTACGCTATGTAATGTAACAAAATCTTAATACTGTAAAATTTTTTCATAATTTTTCTTAACACTTCATTGTAAAAAGAAAAAGAAAAAGAATTCATATTCAACATCTTACGCTGCTCTATTTTCCTATCTAATTCTATTCAGTTTTGTGTAAAGTGAGGCGGAAGTGGAGGGTGCAAAACAACTTACCGAGCTGCTCACCCTTAGCAGCATATAAATATTAGGTTATATAAAATGTAAAGTTACATAAAAGCCCTTAATATAAAACAAAATTACAAAATATGCCTATTTCCTACACTCCCCCTCAAACTGAGGCTGGGAAACCAGTGTCAGTTTGCTCACTAAAAACTTGTGTCGTGCAGTTGTCATTGCCTCTGTAAAAATATCTGCAATTTGATGCTCAGAAGCAATATAAGGAAGAGTAATGGCACCTGCAAGATACATATTCCGTATAAAGTGGCAATCCACTTCAATGTGCTTGGTACGCTCGTGAAAGACATGATTGGATGCAATACGAATAGCACTCATATTATCAGCATAAAGAGGTGAAGGAGGAGTAGGAAAAGTAAGTGTCTGTAAAAATCCTCGAAGCCAAGTCAATTCACTACATGCTGAAGACATTGCTCGGTATTCAACTTCAGCAGTGGATTTGGACACTGTTTTCTGTTTCTTACATTTCCAAGAAATAAGGGAATCACCGAGAAACACACACCAACTTGTGGTTGAGCGACGTGTATCAGGACAACCTGCCCAATCAGCATCTGCATAAGCTTGCAATTGCATACAAGGATGAGAGGAGAAGAAAAGTCCCCTTGAAATAGTGCCATGAAGATATCGAATTATGCGAAGAACAGCCGTTAGATGTAACCGCCGAGGATCTACAACAAATTGACTAACCACTTGCACAACATAAGCAATATCAGGTCTAGTCATAGTAAGATAAAGGAGGCGACCCACAAGTTGATGATAAAAGCTAGGATTAGAGAGTTTTTCACCATCCTTCTGCCTAAGCTTGACATTTACTTCCATTGGAGTGTCAACACACTTATCATCAGATAAATTTGCAAATTGGATCAAATCCAAAACATACTTCCGTTGATTCACCGCATAACCTCGAGAAGATGAGTGAACTTCTAAACCAAGAAAATAAGTCAGTGGCCCCAAATCTTTCATCTGAAAAGAACGACAAAGTAACTCTTTCAACTTAGCAATACCTTCCTTATTACTACCGGTAATAAGCATATCGTCGACATAAATCAAAAGTAGAGTAACACCTTGCGAAGAGTTATGCATGAACAAGGAATAATCATGGGAACTCTGAACATACTCAGCATCCACAATAACTTGACAAAAGCGTTCAAACCAAGCTCGAGGAGCTTACTTAAGACCATATAATGATCTCTTTAATTTGCAAACCATGGATTTAGAATGTGAATAACCTGGAGGAGGCTTCATATAAACAGTTTCTTCCAAATTCCCATGCAGAAAAGCATTCTTCACATCCATTTGAGAAATAGGCCACTGATGCATTGCCGAAAGAGCAATAAGTAATCTCACTGTAGTCATTTTAGCCACTGGTGCAAATGTTTCTATATAATCAATTCCATACTCTTGCTTATAACCTTGGGCAACAAGTCTTGCTTTATATCGCTCAATACTACCGTCTGCTTTGAGCTTGATAGAAAAGACCCACCTGTTACCAATAATAGACACATTAGAAGGACAAGGTACCATATCTCAAGTGTCATTCTCCAATAAGGCACTTAATTCAGAATCCATAGCTTCCTTCCAGCAAGGAATGCTAATAGCCTCTTGGTAAGAATGAGGTATATCAACAAAATCTAATGTTGTCAACAAAGAGACAGAGGTAAAAAGGTTAAGACGATCAGGTGGATGAATAGTACGGGCATAACGACGTAAAGAAACAATGGAATTAGTAGAGGCATTAGAAGCAGGATTAGAATCACTTACTGATTGAGCATCCACAGGTGTACCATCTTCTGGTTGGTGAAAGGAACAAGTTTGAGGTTGTTCATTTGTTGCATGGAATTGATCAATGGAAACTTGTTCTGCTGGAGCATTATGATCAAGTGAAAAGTCATGCAACACAAAAGGTGAGGAATTATTGGGTTTTGCAATTGCATCAAAATAAAATAAAATTTCCAAGAAAACCACATGTCTAGAAATGCGAATTCTACCAATTTTTGGATCATAACACAAGAAACCCTTTTGATCAATGCCATATCCAACAAAAAAACACATGGCAACTTGATTTGATAATTTTGTCCTTTCATGAGGTGGTAAATGAACAAAGCACACACAACCAAAAACATGTAAACAAGAATAATCAGGATGGCATTTATGCAAGGAGTAATATGGAGAGATGTTATGCAATACTTCAAAAGGAATACGGTTAATGAGATAAACTGTCGTAGAAGTAGCCTCAACCCAAAAATTAGGAGGAGCATGAGAATTAGATAACAAAGTTCTAACTACCCCTAAAATATGACGATTTTTCCTTTCAGCAATACCATTTTGCTGTGGGGTAGCAGGACATGACCTCTGAGACTGAATACCCTCAACCTTCAAAAATTCTTGAAATTCTTTTAGTAAATATTCACCCCCAGAATCAGAATGAATAATTTTTATATTAGTATCAAATTGTGTTCTAATCATGGACAAAAAGGTCTTAAAATGAAAGAACACTTCAGATTTGTGTCGCATAAAATATATCCATGTGAATCTTGTGCAATCATCGATAAATAAAACAAAATATTTATATCCCAATCTAGATGAAACAGGAGAAGGACCCCACACATCACTATGTATCAAATCAAAAGGTTTAGTTGAAGTTGAAGAATGAGTTGGAAAAGGTAAGTTTGCACTTTTACTCAAAGAACAGCTAATACAAGATTTATCAATGGAATCCAATGGCAAAGTTTTATTATTCAAAAGATCA